TATGGCGTCCAACTGGATGTAGGCTGGGACCAGGGGAGGTATGGCATCCAACACTGTCGGCTTGATCCTGCTCAGTGATGCTGGAAACGCTGCATATGTCTCCAACCTCACGCTGGAATGTGCTGGTGGTCAGAATCTCAGAATACTTTCTATTTGTAGTTTCACTGTTCTACCACTAGATCATGTGCGTACACATGGTCAGAGGTGTGCATGTAGTTACACACAGTCCTAAGTACACGTACAAGTTGGTAAATTCTATACTTTGTGTAGGAATGTTGGTACGCACTGATGATAAATGAGGCCCCTGGTGCTGAGTCATCAGAAGTCACTTTATTGTCACAGACAAAGTTTAGTTAAACTCAAATTAACACCTGAATCACCTGTCCAATCGGACACCTCCAGGTGGACATCCTGCTGATCCCATGGGCCCAGTTTGAGCAGGTCTCAGGTTCTGCAACCAGTAAACACTGATTCACAGGGGGAGGTTTTTCTCTTTGACCTCAGGTTCAATTATGAACCCTGGAAATGTGACAGACACACCCACTGTGTTCATTCAGACACACAGCTGAAGTTCTTCCAGTTACAAACAGTTTGTCCACAAGGTTCAGGCCCAGGAACCCGTTCTGCTGCTCTGGTTTCAGTCTGGTTTTAGTCTTGTCTTGGACTTCTTTGAGTAACAGGTGGGTACCTTCACAAGACAGTTTTGAAGAAGTGAGTTCTGAGGAGTTAGGTGAGGTGATGGGAAGGGGCGGAGCTTCACCTGGCTCTGCAGGTTAACAGACTGAGGCTGTTTGAATTCAGACTGTTCAGACTTTGTCACATGTGATTGTTTCTTGTTGTGTATTCAGGGTGTGAGTGCTCAGAAATTTTTTTCGTTTTAATATGAATTTGAGAATTTAAATTTTGTTTAGCAGCAGCACAGGAAACAGAATCTGAAAGAATCCATCCATCCATCATGTCTACACCTTAATCCTCACTAGGGTCATGGGGGGCGGAGNGTGTGGCTGCTCCAAACCACACAGTGATGGAGCTGCACAGGACAGCTTCTGCTGAATCAGCAGCTCCTGGGGCAGACCGTGTCTCCTCAGCTGTTGCAGGAAGTAGATCCTCTGCTGAGTCTTTTTGAGGACGCAGCAGATGTTCTTCTCCCACTTCAGGTCCTGGGTGACTCCCCAGGAGCTTGAAGGCCTCTACAGCTGACACAGGGCTGCTGCTGATGGTGAGGGCTGTCTCCTGAAGTCCACTCTCATCGCCACAGTCTTGAGCTTGTTCAGCTCCAGGTCCCCAATTCAACCCAGACCCCGGTCCTCCGGTTCTAGCTCTGAGTCAGTAGCCAGAACTGGGCCAAATCCACCTCCAGGTCCAGAACTTGGCTCGACCACATTGCTCATAGTTCTTCTCCCAGCCGGGCCCATCTACTCAACCTACCTGGACGTCCACCTGGATGACGCCGGGTCACCCGTCCAACACTCGCCCCTCCTGTCCGGGTCTGACTGTCTGCACTGTTCTGGTCCTGTGTTCAGGTCCGCATGGAAGGAGTTAAACGTGACCCGACACTGTTTATGTGGACGAAAGACCAAAACACAGAAAAATGTACGTTTTAAAAAGGACTGAACCCAAACAGCTGTCATCAGTCAGAAACACAACAGTCAACACGGAGCCACGAATCAGAGTGAGTCTGAAACCAGCTGAAGCTCTGGAACGCCTCACATCAGACGGAGACATTTCAACATGTTAACGTGAAGCGTTTCCAGGAGAACTGGAGTCCGCTGGACAGTGATGAAGGTCAGACAAGCTGTTGGGTTTGTGTTTCAGCCTCCAGCTGCAGGAGAGCAAAGTGCCATCAGTCTCCATGTGTGTCTCAGTGAACGCCCTCAGCTCAGCCTTTAATCTCATTTGTTCTCAGCTTCCTTTGTGTCAGGAAGTTTGCAGAGATTAATTTGAGGACAGAAGATTTCCACATGACAGAACCAGTTGATTTACTGGAAACAGATGCAGTCAACTCTGCACCGACACAAACTGTGAGGTTTGAAGAAAATCTGAGTGTCGACTTGCTGATGTGTAAATGTGAAGAGTTTTAACACCAGGAAGCCCATCTTTTGTTGCAGAAACTCCACATTCATCCACTCAGTCTCATTTAAACTGTCAAACTTTAAACTGACATAAAACAGTGAAATGATGTAAAAAAAAAAATAAAGATAAAAAAAACTTCTTTATCTCCATTTGTTTAATGAAATCTGATTCAGGCTGAATGTAAAACCAAACATCTCAGGTTCATGTTTGCTTCAGAGTCCAGAGGCCTCATTTATCATCAGTGTGTAGAAAAGCTTCTGTATTCTGTCGTGCACATGAAATGTAGAGAGTGTAAGTCCAGAAACATCCGTATCTATCAAACGAGCGTACGGGGTCGTAACACATCAGTGCTGATAAATCCCACTGGTTCTTAACCTCCGTGCTCGAGCACGTTGCCTTCAGGAACGCCTCCACATCACCATATA